AAATTTTGCAATAATCTTGCGCCACCCTTGCACAAAACGACGATCATTTTTCTAATTTCATAGATAACAGAAGACTGTATTTTTTCTACATAACTTGACTTTAAAGCTGGATCCGCCCCTGTTCGCATCACATTGATTTATCGAAATTTTCCGCAAATATTTTCCGCCAAATTACAAAAAATCTTGCACATTGGATTTAACGATACTCTTTGACTTCTTAGCCATCGCTCATCGTTGCAGATTATTCAGTTTTGAATTGAATAACTGAAAAAAATCAACTGAAAGTGCGATTGCAAAGAAATCGGACTTACCATTGCTCTTTGACTTCTTAACTATTGCCGATCGTTGCAAAACATCCATGATTGCTTTCTTTGGCAGAGTGTCCGACACGGTATAAGTTCTTCCATTGCCAATGACCAGAAAAGGCTGTTGAGCAGTGGGAGTTTCAGTCTGTTGGTTGAGTTGAACGCTGTGAATCAACCGAAGAGACCGCGACTCTTTGATGACGGCTTCCCCAATCTAAAACCACACTGTGACGCTCATGGAAAATTGGCCATTAATGGCTAACTTACGGAAATTCGTATCTTAAACGTCCAGTTTTGCTTCATGCTCAAAAATATCCACGTAATGACCCAGAAGAAGAAATGGAACACATTATAAATGATGCAGATTAATGGAATATCATCAAAGCTGCCTCTATAGGCCACTGTGTAGTCGTGTATCAAAGGAACGTTGCAAATCCCGATGGAAATCAGCAGACAAAACGCCGCACAATGAGTGAAATAGAGCCAGGCGTTGCTGGATGATCCTTGGAGGGTTATCAGCTTTTTGTCTCGCTGGTGATTAATGAAGGCGGTAAATCTGGAAATAATTAATGGAAATATTCCCCCTAAAAGCAGCCTGGGTGCTTACCTGGTGTGTCCGTAAAAGTACATAACAACACTGCTTGCAAGCACCAATAAAGTCGAGAGCATGTAGAGGCCGAAAGTGACTTGAGCGTTCAGGAGAAATGGGGTCACTTTGTCGAAATTCTTGTACAGTTTCAAGGAATTCTGCTGGGAGAAGGACATATAGGTCCAAATATCCGCCACATGAATCTGCAGGGAAGTAAAAAACGAATCAAGGAATTAACATTGGGGCAAGGAAAAGGCTCACTTTATATAAAACGCTGATGCCAGCAAAACTCAAAACGATATGTTGGCCATTGATGAAGAGCAAAAATGAGAAAAGCAGCCCAAGGCACTTGTTGGCGCTCCAAAATATCGCTGGATAACGCACTGAATAAATCACCAGCGCTATAATCAGGTTGATGTATTCCAGCGATATGGACGAATCCCAAACCCCATCTGGAACAAACATCCCGCAAAGTGAAATAAACGATTTAAGGCCGCAGCATCTCCTACCTGCATCCCTCGGTTCGTATTTCCGCGTCTCATGCCCGATTATGTCCTTTAGGGTTTTCATAACGGTGTGGGTCACATTGGCACTGGAAAAAATAGCTCCCGGATCGAAAAACTTCTGCGGCAACATGTTCAAAGCCATCACAGAATTCTGCGATAAATTCCCCGTTACTGGGGCGAAACTCAACACCAACGAGCGATTTTTGTGGATGATTAAAAAGTCCAAATCGGTATGCCAAACGTATTCTAGAAAGTTGCAAAAAAGTGCTATTAATCAACAGTTTTTAATCGGCTACTTGAATGTTTTATTCATTGTTTTATTCGAAATGTTTATCCCAATTTTTCAACTTTAAAAATGATTTTTATTGGTTTAAACCCCGCGCATAAATGGCGTTTTCTGATTTTCGATTTTGTGACCTGGATTAGTTCATAAACCGATCACCTTCTGAGCAAAATGCTCAAACGGTACCAAGCTATTGGGTTTAACTGGTCTTTGTTCCCTGTTTCGA